GCTTTTTTCTGCAGCGTGTCTGTGATAAGTTTTGATGTAAACCTTCCAGTGGTCCCTGTGGTGCAATGAAGTGGTAGCCAGTCTTACATTCAGAGACTGGGGGAGATCAAGGTTGCTCCCCTGTTGTCAGAGCTGCTGGCGGGAGGAGGTAGCCCAGGCGTGGGCCTTGGGCTGCTGCGTCCCAGTGCTGGCCTGGAGGAGAGCACTGTGCTGACAGAACTGCTGTCCCTTCCCGGGTTTGAGGAAGGGATAACCCGTTGTAGCTGCTGCTGAGGGTCTGCTGGCCTTCCTGCCACCAGCTTGTTTGTGGGATCACCGTGGAGGTGAAGGGTGGAAGGGGACCGGATCCTTCGGCAGGGTGAGAGCAGCATTCTCGGGGGCTGCCTTCGCTGCGGCGTTACGCGGGCAGCGTCAGCAGTCTATTTTTCAGGCTTCCCAGGGCTGGTGAGTTTCAGAAGATACAAGGTCACAAAAAAAAAAGTGTGAGTTTCTGTTTGCTTAAGTTTAATGAGCCCTTACTAAAGGTTTGGTGCGTAGACTCTGACCTGTTTCACTTTAAGTGTCAGGCATGTTTGAATTTTAAGTGAAATATTAGCTAATGCATGTCTGGATTTTTTCCTTAAGGAGGCCGCTGAGTCTCCAGATTTTTTTCTGGGATGCGAGTCCTTTACTCGAGTGTTTCAGGACTAGGTTGTGACAACTTTTGGATGTGACACTTTTAGTGTCTCAGGCAAGTAGCAAGGCTGGATTCAGCCCATCGTGTGAGGCGGAGGGCGTGTCCGTATTCCCTGGAGCTAGCTGCCTGCCTCAGGGAGAACTTAAACTTTAAGGGACACATTTACTAAAATGAACTGCTAGCACGTGGAGGTGTTCTGGTGTCTACTATGGGGAGATGAGGGGGAGTGTGTGTCAAGTCTTAAATTGGTGCACTTGAGGAAAAAGAATGGATAACAAGCTAGTTGTCTTTCCCCTGCCCCCTTCTTTTAAAATTAAATAGGGAAGCTAGACTTGCTTACCTGAAGTGAAAAAGGGAAAGGTGATGTCTACATCCTAAATGAACTGAAATCACTAGCTATATTAGAAGTAAAATTGTGTTTAGGTGAGTACCCTCAAATAGGAGGATCTCATTTTCCTGACTGCAAAATCTGGAGGATTTCATCAAGAGGAGCAATTGTACAGTGAAGCTGATTAGGCACAGCTGTCAAATCCACTAAGTAAGCACTTTTAAAAGTTAATGAAAAATTATCTCTTTCATTTTGTGTGTGTTTGGAAAAGAAAGGAACTTATTAGTTGCTGTGGTGGAAGCGATAAGACACTCAACTATATATTTCTGTATTTTGGTTATTACCTATTACAAATTCACTAAATCGAAAAGATGCTGCTGGATGTTGTCCACCTCTGCTCCATCCCTGTGTGCATGAATGTTTTGGCAGAGCCTCCTGTAAACAGGATGTGGAGCTGTCAGAACCCTGTTTGACCACAGTTGTTGGTGTTTTGGAAAGTGTATGGACAAATTCTAGCTGCTTGTATCGCGTGTGTACACGTGTGCAACCTTGCCCCTTTTCTCTCCTGAGATGCTATTAATTTAATCTCTTTGAACTCAATCCCAAAGACCAAATACTGTAGATTAAACACAGCATATAATATTGCCTTTTGGTTTTTTTTTTTCATCGCTACATTACTTTCCCTGAGACATTCATCTTGAATTGTTTGGAATAGCCTTAGAGCTGACTAGTTACTCTGCACTTCTTGGTAGCGCTGTATGAACAGTGCATTAGTGATGCCTTACTATGCATGTTATTCCAGTTTTGAAAAAACAAGCATTGTTCTGATGCGGAGTTGAGACATAGACCCGGTATATAAACCGTCCTGTAATGGGGAGATACTTCAGTGGAGAATCTCGTAAGTGGGATGCTTGAATGGTCTTTTCCCAAGTAAATATTGTGTCTTACTTAGTTTCAAGAAACATGGCACACAGCTGCTCTTTGCTCCATGTTTGTAAAATAACGGGCCATTTGCTGACTGAAGCAAGCTATTGGCATTGTTGCTAGCAGCTGCTGAACTCTTAGTGTTAACTTAACTCATAAATATTAATCATGTTGCAGTTTTGTTAGAGCTTGTCTGCATATCCCAGAGGCACTAGCTAATATGTCACACTTTTTTTCACATGAACTGATGACATTTCTTAGCAGAGGTTCCAAACAGTGACTTCATAATTCAGTAGTTTTACTGTGGTGGCTGAAGTTTCTTCAAAACTGCACTTTTAACTACAGCTTTGCTAGTGCTAGTATAGGTATATCTGGATGTGTTTCAGTTGGATCAAAGCTGCTGAGCATGCGGTGGAATGAGCACAGAGTCGAAGGAAATATGCTGTTTGCTTGCTGACCTGTTGTTTGAAGATCTGTAACAAAGTGAAAGCCAAATCTAAGCTGAACAAAATCCATTCAGTTTATGTTGTGTTTCAGTTTAAAATCAGTTTCATATTGTAATGGTTTTGCTGCTGTACAAGTGTGAGAAGTTTACAGGAAATGTAAGGATTGCTGTAGAAATGTGCGTTATCTGCATAATAAGCAATTAAATAATGTGCTGTGGCCTTTTAAGAGTCCTTTCCACTCTTTAGCCAGTAGGAGGGAATGTGTTCTTAAAAATGAGACACAGCTCCCAAACAAACTAATCTGTTCCTTCAGGTCAGATTCTGCTAGTGTTCTCTGCAGAAAACAGTGGTTAGGTCCCAGAACCTAGTTTTCAGCCTGTCAAAATAATTGTAAATATAGCACTAATAAAAACAGAGAATTAAATAAAAGCTGCTGTATTCTTATAGGAGTTTAACTCTTTATTTTAATCATTGTGAAGGTCAGAAAGAGGACTGTGGTGTTCCTAGTGTATGCCATATAGAGAAATCATGCTGACCACATCTAAAATCCGTTTTCTGATCCTTACTGTTGTGTGAGCATCCAGTGGAACTTTTTCTTTCTGGGGCAGTGGTGTATGTTTACCAGTACTGCACTTCATGCCTAGAGGCTATACTTCCTACCAAACTAGTCAAAATTGCTGTTAGCTTAGGCTTCTCGTATCAGCCTGTGAACACAGGTTCGGCTAACTACAACATGACCATTCGCATACAAAGCTATATACTCTGCTGTGTATTTGGATGGCGCTTTCGTTGCATGTGTGTATGTTGTTCCTCTTCAGGGTTCTCTCCTGGCTGCTTGCGGAGGAATTTCTGTCCCTGAAGAGATGTGCAGGACAGGGACAAATATTGCAGACTGATGCTAAATGAATCCTGTCCTGTAAAGTGGGAGGTCCCAGCTTGAGCTGGAGCCTCAGGCTTTACAAGATAGACTTCATGCAAGGAAGTATGGTTTAGATTGTGAAGATCATAAACAGGACAGTGTCTTTTGTGGCTGTGAAAGTACCAAACCAAAGATGCATAAGGCTAACGCTGCAACATACAGAAATCTGTGAGCATGGATTTGATCTCAAAGCGCTCCGTTACCTTATTTCCATGGACAGAAGTAAATGTCACTCTTCAAGTAGGTGGATGTGAGAATTTGTTTATGGACTTGCTCCTAAAAGCCTGGAGGCAGACTGGGATAGTACATGATCTAATAGTTTTTTGTTAGAAATGTAACAGAAAACTGCTTGGAAACGTAGAGTGGACTCCAGGCTGTGTGTGTGGTTAAACTATAATTGCATGACTGATGTTTTGGGAAAGGCATATTTGTAAAAAGAATTTTTGATTTCTTTAAAAAAACTTTTGAGCTCACTTGTTTATACAGAAGTGGTGTCGTTCGTTACCAATAGTATGACCATCCAACTACCAGTTCTGATCACATCTTTTTCAGTGCTTTTAAGTGGGTTTCTAGTGTATCAGGTTTTTTTCCACCCTCTCCAGAAGGTCCACCTAAAAATTCTACTATTGCCCTTCAGGTCTGTCCCATCTACATGCATGTCTTATGCAGCAGATCGAGATAGCTTGCTGAGATTAGATAGAACTTCTAATAGCCAGAGTGGTACTTCAGTGAAAAAAGAAAGCAGAAAACCCCAGACAGATTTAATATCTTGGTGATGACTGTATATGGCTTGTTTTGAGTCTGAAAGTACCTTTCTTGTGCTGCGTTCTTAAACTGACAGAATAGAAGCATACTCAAATGACTGAGCTCAAGAAATGAGTTGAGAAAATAGTGACCTGGATTTTGGTTCTCTTCAAAATTCTGATCCAGAAATACCTTACTGTGGCTGCACTCTAAGTTAAAACTTATGTTTTTTTTGACCACAAGCGTATGTTTGAGTTTTGGTGTGAGTTCAATGGTGATGAAAAGCATAAATGACTTGATGAAAGCTGTCTGGCATGTGTAGAAAGCTGTGTACCTGAAAAATCTTGGCTGATGCTATAGACCTTAGGCTGATCTCAGAGATCAATCTTTGGACCAAAAAATGAGATAGACAGAGAAACTAATCCTCCTGAATAAGCAGCTTACCTTGGTTTTGTTTGATAATTCTGTTACTCCGCTGAAAACTATGAATGGACGACCTGAATGTTGTTCTGAATCTCTGATTGTTCCAAGTCTCTGAGCAAAGGAGCAAATCTACCTTAAATATGAAGTCCTGCATTCGAGGATTTGACTTTGTCTTTGTAGAAGATTTCAGAAAGGTGATAGTTAAAGGAGCTGGCAGAACTTAGAAGCGATGTGTGGTGTACACTGTTAACCCTTTCTTTGCAACTGTACAGTCTGAAACCTAAATGGGCTGGTGAACTGCCAAAGAAGTGCTTGCCTGTCCAGGTAGGGAGGTACATCACCAGTACTATCTTTCATACTACTTGTGTGATCTCCGAAGTAGGAAGAGACGCTCAAGTTTAATAGAGAGTAACTTGTGTGTTAGTAGCTAATTGGTGTGGGGAGAAGGAAAACGGTGAAGAACGGAAATACTAAAAGGTGCAAAAGAAAGGTCAAAAGTACTAATCACACTTTTTTTTTTCCTCACCTGTCTTGCAGACCTTCAAGTGCTGACCTTCTTGGTCTATTAAGTTATTACAAACTTTTGCTGCTCTGCGAACATATAAAGATGTCTCGCAGCCCTGATGCTAAGGAAGACCCTGTGGAATGCCCCCTTTGCATGGAGCCTCTGGAAATTGATGACATCAATTTCTTCCCTTGCACCTGTGGCTACCAAATCTGTCGTTTCTGTTGGCATCGTATCCGCACTGATGAGAATGGACTCTGTCCTGCTTGCAGAAAGGTAAATATCCTGGAACAGCGGCTTGTCTTGCACATATCGCAAGGCTCTTGCATTGTGTTGGTACAAAAGACATCCTTTTCCTTCGGGGAAACATTCGTCTAGTCATGGCCTAGATCAAGGGTGAGATGTTGCATCTTTCAGATTCCATCTGCGTATGTGTGAAGGCTGTTGTGCAATGGCTAGTCTTGGTTTGTTAAATTCAGAACTGGATTAATAGGGGAAGCTGTGGGTCAGAACCAAGGCATGCTGATGCTGGGAGAACTGTTGGAAAAAAAAAAAAATCCTTTCAGCTGGGGTGCTAACACATTGACAAAGTCTTTTGAGGAAGGACAGTGAGGATTCCAGCATCAGGGATTTGCTGAGGGCCAATGTTCAGCTAAACTAGCAGAGTTGTCTGAGGCAAGCTTATAAAGCACCTGCTTGTTTGGTTGTGGCACTGGAGCTTTTAATCCAAATTCTTCTGGATGCTAAACGTGTAAGACCTTTGGAAAATATATCCAATGGTGTTAAACTTTAAAGGATTTCAGAATCTAGGCTAAGTTTATTTGTCTAGTGTTCTGATCTTGTTGCCAAATGCTTAAAGGTAGTACTTTGAGAGTCACGCTTAATTTTTTCCGTGTCTCTTAGTTGATGTCTGGCTGATACTATGGTTGGCCACAACTATAAACTTCAGCTTCACTAAGTTGCCTGCTTTTATTATTTTCCTCCTCCTTTTAGTGTTTTGCTTAACCTCATTATTTCCTTGTCTTCAGTGTTTAATAAAATTCTGTCTCGATATCTTCTTCTCTTTAATGACTTCCCTTGATTGTAACTTTCTTGCCTGGCCTCCCTCTTTTTGTAATCATAGCTACTTGTGTCCCTTCTTTCTCTTACGATTTAATCATGATCCTATCCTCAGTTTATGCCTTTGTTGGCTTCCTGTCTCATATTACAGCTCCTTTTTCAGACCCCAAGTAATCTTGCTTGGTCTCGCTATCTTTATTCACTGCCACGTCTTTTTATAAGCACTTTCAGTCATATTTTCTTGTTGCTCTTTTGGGCTTTGGCTACAGTAGAGCTATCACTGCTAACCTGTGTTTGGACACCTCTGCAAGCCTGAAGGCTATCCCACAGCAACATACATTTGTTAACGAATTGCACAAATTTGCTGCAATATTTGAGCTGTATGTTCTACAAGATGATCCATCTGTCTTCAGCCAAATTAGTCTCCACGTGTGATACTTGCTGTAGATGACACATGCTGTATAGTAATTTTCATAGTGCAAGCAAATTTCTACTTTTCTGGTACAACATGAGATTTCTGGAATTTCCTTCGCTGTGTAAGTCACTTCGTTTACTTGGATTTATTACACTACTTTTTGCCAACAACTATTTGATTCATCTGTACCTGTTCATTACTGGAAGTTTGTGGAGTATATCTGAAAAATCACAGAAGCAGCATGCTATACACTGCCTCTGGGTATCTGAATTCTTTGAAATATGGATACTGCCACAGTTGAACTTTTGAATGTGGAATAATCTGGCGTATGATTGGATGTGCAAACACTTTGCTGAATTGGATACAGTTTGCTCAGAAAAACAGTTTCGGGAGGAAAAGCTAGACTGAGTGCTACAATCAGAATGAAGTACACCGACTGTTCCAGGGGAGGAAGGAGAACTCTTCTTTCACAATGGACGAGGATTATGTTCTTCATACTTTTTTCATCCATGGACTTCAAGATGTTCTTGAGTAGAGTTGAAGCTATGTTGCTGGATTGTAGGAGATTTGCGTGGAGGAGGCTGAGGAGTACACTCCTTCTGTGGCATGGACAAAGACTTTGTGATGCAGAGATGCTATCACGATCTTGGGAATAAAAAGTTTCAAGCTACACCGTTGATGGCAGCATTAAATAAGTCTGAAGAAGCCACCTTTTGAAATGATCTGGACCTTCTGAACCAGGTATGTCTTTTTGTGTGCAGTGTGTCTAAATAGTTCCTATGTGTTTGTAGTAAGGTCTCTGGGGAAAAGATCTAAGTAATTTTCTAATTCGTGTCTACTGTGGTGGGCATTGGTTATGACCACTTAAAATGCTGAAGCATAGAAAATGCAAAGCAACAAAAATTTTGCAGTAGAGTTTATAGTAGGCACTATGGTTTCAACAGGTATGTCGTGTATAATATGTATACCAGTGTAGGATACATACTGCAAAATGAATTGTGAAGAAGCATATGTTAAAGCAAGGCCGAGTATGCTATGCACAATTACATAATAGAGAACTGCTGTTTGTGCTGATGGTATTGAACGTGGTGCGAGTTCTCCAGTAGTTTGATCACTAGTCTGTGGAGAGGAGCAATGAAGTTCTTATCCAGGAATTTTGGTTGAAAGGTTTGGGGGAGATTCTGGAAAAGTCTGTGATAAAATAGTTTGGCTATGCACTATAGTGGTATCTGTGCTATTAGTTCGATAGATCGTAACTGTGCATTGCATATATACCGTTACTTTCCTGAGCTTCTCTAATTTGCTTCTCTCTGAAAAGATGTTAGCGTGCATTTTTTTTCTGTCAGGGAGAAAATACTTCTACATGCTTGAACTGTTATGTGGCTGAACATTTGCATGTGCAGTATATGTTCACGTGGCTGCAGTCAATGAGTTAGTGTGTCTTAAGTTTCCTCCTGTTAGTAACAGTAGTAGACAAACATTTGCGTTGATTTGTGAGAGTAAGGTGCTAGAATGCATTTAACTTGAATGCTGGTTGGAAACTAGCACTTGTTGGACTTAACACATTAAAAGCTTTCTAAACTTTGTCTGAATCTACTGAAATAGACTTGGAAATTGTTTCTGTTTAATTCATAAACTACAAAAAGTACTTCCTTAAAAAAAGTAGAACTGACCTGTTTGAGTTCCTGGTGCCCTTCAGGATTGTAGGTGTAGTCAATTGTAAGATGCTAAGCAAGCCTTCCTGTTGTTTTCAGACAATTGATTTCTGAACTGTGAGTGAAATAGCGGCTAACTAGTCAAATTAAAATGAAAATATGCTGTCCTCAGAAGAGAATTCTGTGGCCAAAAGCCGGTTTACAGGTCGGCAGACTTGCTCGTTCTGGTTGTAGAGCCAGTGATTTTTATCTTTGCGGTGATTTTTCTTTTTTTTTTTCCTTAAATTCAGCAGCCCATGTACTGTTTCTCGTATGAATAATACATACTGTTTCGGTTGCTTAGGTTGCTTTAATAGAGGATAGTACTCAGACCCTAATGTCAGTTACTGTGATTTTTAAATCCAACAGTTAAAAAAATCTAGCTCCTTCACATTTCTTAATTGCTTTGCCCTCCCACCAAATAATATAACTTCATACACAGCTGTATTTGTTGTGACTTTGCCTTTTTTTCCAGTTCCTCAACTTAGAAAGCTTTATTCCTTCCAGCACCTTGTGTTAGATGTAGAGGGAAATGGTGAGCTTCTAAATTTATGACCACAAAACTAACATGTTTTAAGCGTATTTACATCCTTGGTTCTCCTATTCCTGCCTCAGCGTAAAAAGAACACTTGGTGTTAATGCACAGTCTCCCAAATGCAATTTGTTTTCTCTGGTGCTTTTAATCCCACAACTGAGCAGTTTGGTGCAACAACTGATGTTTAGAAATAAATAGGAAATGGCCATTTTTTATTCTTGATATAAGTAATATGGTGTATACTGTGCATAAACCTTATTGACTTTCTCTGTATTTCTCATTTCAGAACCTATTTGGTAGCAAGGCAACAACTGGGAAATGTTGGTGCATCCATTGTGTTGAAGGAATGTGACCCATCTGGGAATGACAAAAGCAAAGTGCTTGATAAATCCCAGCTCAGCTTTCAACAATTGGGAAAATGTCAGGAGGGAAAAAGTCTGAAAGAAACCAAAACTTAAATGTCAGGACAAACTTAGTCAGGAAGACTGAGAATTCATCAAGGGCTATCTCTGATTAAAGAAAAGAGACTACAGAAGAGACATTCGAACTTTTGATGAAGTTCTTGTAGGACTACGAGCACTTGCAATTAGTGTAAACAAAGTCTGGTAATTTTCCATGTTGGCACTTCTCACTGAGATGGCTTCCATTGTTTTTGCTGAAGAGGATTTGTGTAACTTAAGTGGAGGGTGTCAGCTAAATTTATTCAGTGCATCAGTGATTTTGACATCTCTTAATGTCTTGCCTCTGAAAATACATAAATGCTGGTAACACTTGATGTAGCTACTTTGCTTGGATGTCAAATCCTCTACCAACTAATGAATCGGTGCTAGTGGGTTAAACAAGTTATCTTATGCTTCTTGGGAGGGGAGGAAGGGCGAAGTGGTCATGTCAGTAGCACTGCCACTTTAGCTTTTGCAAGACCTGGGAGTTTCTGGTACCTGTGGTCTTCCCCCTACCCCTATTTTATAGTGTTGAACAGAGGGTAAACAACAGATGAAATGGTGCTGTGAGACACACCAGCAGTCAGTCCGCCTTGGTTGGCTTTCAGAGTCATGTTCCTCCAGCTTTCCCTGCATGTGTTCTGTCTATGGCTGAACTGTCATCTGGGTTCATGAACTTCAACACTGTGGGAAGCAATCACTCGAAAGACGAAATCATTCATTGTCCTATTTGTAGACTGACTTTATGTCGTTATTTAAAAGGAATTGATTTCTAATACTATTTTTTTAGAATGAGCTTCTGAATGTCAGTGCTGTGCTTACGTGCCTTCATCCCTGCTTAAATGCACAATATCTCGTATCTGTCATCATGCCACCCATTATATATAGATAAGAAAATCATCTATTGCTTCTTGGGGTTTGGTTTCTGATTTGTTCTTGGGATTCAGGAGGTGCACGGAGATTCATATACAGGTTCTGCAAGTCAGGATATCTAACTACTCATATTCCTTAGAAGCACTTAACATGTCATAAGGGTGATAAACATACATGTGAAATATTTCATATGTAAGACAGCTCTACAGTATCTAGAGAAAACTTTCGATGATTCTGTTGGTCAAACAAGTGCTCCTGTTAGCCATGTTGGCAAATCAACTGCTGCTACTTCTTAATGATTGAAATCCTTATTCAGGCAGCCTCTTACTTTCTGCTGACATGAAGACACTTCCCTGATTCTGAAGTTGCTGTTTAGTTGTGTGCCTCCCAGCAGTTCTTGTGCTCTCCTGTACAAATACAAACTACTAGTTTTACTACAGAGAAATAAACATTCTGCTCAGTGTTATGCTTGAGCTACCCAGGATGTGTTCTGACTAATGTTCAGAACCTCCAGTAGCAAATGGCTGTACAGAGAAGGAACATATTGTCTGACTTGCTTCTCATTTGAGAATCTGCTCTAAATGTGGCTATACTTGGCAAGGAAGAAGCTGATGAGCTGTGGCACTGTTTGCTGTAGTTTTCTTGGACCTTCAGGAGCCTTACTGAACCTACTGGAAAGCATGAATGAACTTCTTGCACAGCACCAGAGCGCAGTATACTTGCAAGCCTTGCCTTGTGTAGTATGGGAATTAATCTGTGAAGTGATGAGGGTATGATACCACACCACTTGATGCAGGGCAAGCCATTTTATTTTTGGAACTATTATCTACCTTATACTGGTGCACTTGTTTTTCTTCTATTCCTACCTGAACTCAGCTTGAATGTGATAACTGAATTAACTCTTTCTTTGCTGAGCAGTCTTTCTCTTCCCTAAAACAAAACAGTATCTGTTCTTTATTCTACATGATTGGTTAATGCAGACTTCAAGAAGCCCTTTAAATAAGTGAAATGCCTTGCAGAATTACTATGCATATCTGAAGTCCTCATTTGTACATGTGTTAAAACTCAAGATAATCATTGGCTATAGCTAATCTTGAATGACCTTACTAACAGGTCATTGCTGTTCATCAAGTATATTGTGAAATCTGTATAAGGTATTCAGTGTTACTTGTGAATAGCATAACTTTCTAAGAAACAGTACAGTTTTAACTGTTCTTCAGGAATAACATGAGTCCTTGTTGTGTTTTCATGTTAAGGACTTAGTTGTGTACCTTTGGCTACTGCTGAAGTATCTTACAAGTTTAAATTCCTTTGTAATACTAAAAACATGTTCCAGAGGACTTGATGGTGTAACAGTGAGATGCCATCTGCTGTAGTCAACTGCAGCATATTTTCAGATGTCTGAACTATAGCATAATGATGCTGAACTTTAAACTCTTTAAACTGTAAAATGGATCTTGTTTTGATTGGGCATGTACTCTGATAACTGTCAGGTCTGAGCGCTTGGAGTCTCTTTCAGTAGCATCGTGCAAGTATGAGGGGTCTATGCTTTTAACTTAAACCTTATTTTCATCTGCTGCCGTGGATTTTTGTCAGGCCATTTAGTATGACACCTAGCTTTGTGTTCTGCCATTAACAGAGGACAGTCAAGAAAAAGTTAAATTCATTTTTGTTGAACTTGCACACTGAAACCTTTGGTTATAGTAGTACAAGCAAAGAACTTAGTTCAACATAATGGTGATCTTAACTTCTTTATCTTAAGTATTTTACCTTAATGCACATCTCCTGTACTTTTTTCCTTTTTACTTCATGTCAGTGTTTAGAAACACTTTTTTTGAGATTTTTTTTTTTTTTTTTAATATACTTACTTCTGTGCTTAGCATCGCTTTGCATACAAAGCGTGAAATCTGACTTTTCAGTCTGTGAAAACTGGGACAGGTAAGGAATATGGGACTGCTTTGAGGAGTAAGCTGGGACAGAGGACAATGCACTGTAGTCTACAAGACCAGGCTAAAATAGTGCCTTTACTGATGCAGAGCATTGCTATAGAGCGATCTTTCTAGGTAACACTTGTACTTCTAGATTGTTTTGAGATTAAAATTTACAGTGTTATGTCTGTGTTTGAGGAGTTATCTGTAGATGATAATTTTTGAGGTTAAAAATTCACCTTTGTCCAGGGAAGACAAAACCCAGGTTTCAAACTGGTACATAAGCATGGCAAGAATACTATTAAATCAGTATGCAGTAACTGTACTGAAATCTGGCTCTTCACTAGAAGTTAACCATATAAAGATTGAGCTGTGTCTTGAACTTGGTGGGCCACTGAAACTATATTTCTATTTTGATTTCTTATCCTGTAGTCTTTACTTTGTTTGTTAATACACTTAAGTATCCAAATCTGTGTCAGACAACTAAATATAAAGTGAATATGCAGGGCATGCTTTCACCCTGCTTACTACGCTACGTTAGTGAAATCCAAACAAGATGTTTTGGCTACCATGTTGCAGCTGCTTGTACTGTTACCAGACTGACTAGGCCGCTGGGTTAGAATATGGCTATTGCCTAAATCAGTATTATATCTATAAATACGAGAATTCTATGCAAATGCAGTGCAAGATGTTCACATTTCCCAAAGGACTGAATATGATACTTCTGTAATGTGGCTAGCCATAACAATCAGAACAGTATAACAGAAGAAAAAAATTTATGTATTTAAAACATCAAGATTAATGATTTTTCAAATGCATTGTTTCTTATATGGGTTGTTTTTAATGATATTTGTTGTATTTAGCCATATCCAGAAGATCCAGCAGTGTACAAACCACTCTCCCAGGAAGAACTGCAAAGGATAAAAAATGAAAAGAAACAGAAACAAAATGAGAGGAAACAGAAGATATCAGAGAATCGCAAACATTTGGCCAGTGTACGGGTTGTACAGAAGAACCTTGTCTTCGTGGTAGGGCTATCTCAGGGCCTAGCAGATCCAGCGGTTCATACTTGCAGATCTTGCTCTTAACTTAGTGTTGAGGGACCACGGGAATACCCTTGTGCCCACCCCGGTCTGCCTCCCTGATAGGTACAAAATGAAGCAGCATTGAAAAGGTTCACTGCTGATGAGGCCCCATCTGCTTAAGGGAACCTGTGCAGCTTCCTCCTCCAAAATAGCCTCAATAAGTGTTTATGTCTTTGCTTTTAGCAGTATGAATGCTCTGTTTTTTTGTTAAGGAAATTGTTCTCTGTATTTGTTTTAAAACCGCTTGTTAAGCTAAAAAAAAAAGCGTAAGGATTTTTTAGGTACTCATTTTCCTAGGCTGGATCTGCTGGCACTAGACAGCTGTGTCATGCACCACCAATTCTAAAATGGGAGATTGATTGGGTTATAGAGAACGACTATAAAGTGTAGCGCAAACCTGTAGGAACAGAAGAAAAAAGCCAACACATGAAGTGTAACTAGGAAGGAGCATAAGGATGATGGAGACTGAGTGGGGAAGAAAATTACTGAGGGGAAGGCCCAGGAAAGAGCTGCCTTGCTGCTCTGCATCATCAGAAAGGAGCTGTTCATTTGAGAAAACTGATTGTGTTTAAAATGTTTTATTTACTTCCATCATCAGTCAGCTGCAGGTAGCTAATGGCATTAGTGCTAATGAAAGTACCTTGAATTAGAATATGTAGGGAATGTACTACAGGATAAGATAGATGTCTTCAAAACTACTGTGCCAAGTTAAATTCACCTGATCTGACTAAATTGTATGGGGATATCTCAAATAGAGGTGGCTGTTTCTGAGGACTCGCAGACTATGGGCTGCATTTTGGTAGACTGGGAAAGAACAAATGTAAAAAGCTGCTTTTAGTGGAGGGGGGAAAAAAAAAGGGGGGGGGGGGTATGGAGGGAAGAGAAAAATCAAAGTTAAACTGTTCTGGTATGTAACACTTCAGTTTCTACCAGAATACAGCAACAAGTATTTGCAAGCAACTGTCAACACTGGCTTGGTGCTATTTGTTACTGAAAAATGTATTCAGTTTTTGTGAGTAAGAGAAACAATAGTATGTACAGGTAACTTTTTTTTTTAACCTCAGATAATTCCACACTGAATACCTGAAGTAATTAGAAGTGGATTTATTGCTGGGGGGTGTGTGTGTACTAGGTTTGGTGGTAGCAGTATTCTCACTAACATACCAGAAGATAATGTATACTTACTGAATATTGCGTATAGCACCAAGATTACTTGATTTCCAAGAAACTTAGCCTGAAAGAGAGAGAACTGGGCTAAATAATAAAAAGTATTCCATTTATTCAATTTAAGTTGTCGACTTAAGCAGGCAAAAAACTCCTGCACAAATAAAGATGATTTGGAAGGGGAGATTCGCTGCTGCTTGCGGTTTATGGAAATAGATCTATGGATCATAATGGAGTACCAGTGGATCCACTTCTGTTGACGTGGTCTTGTGAAAATTGTGAAGGTCATGCTGCCATGTCCTATCAGGAGTATAATCTGCAAGACATGGGAAGAAACCCTTCTGCTTTACTCGGGATTGTCAGTCTCCTCTGGAATGATGCCTGAGGGTGGGTGTAGGATCTTTTAAGATGGTGTAGATGAAGTGAAGAGCAGTCAGAAGAGACCAGTGGGTGACTTGTCTATACAACATGCCCTGTAGTTCTGCAGGATCTTCCAAATGTGAATAATGCTGTTAGATCTTGAAGACATTGATGCTCCCTTGAGAGGAGTGAGGAGGTGGTTAGATACAGAAGTTCTTGGATCAGTACAGTTTAACTGTACTATCCAGTGTTAATATGAAGACAGAGCTGGGGAAACTAATCTTCCTTTTTAACCCCTCAGGTTATTGTTTAGAACTAGAAATACACTTAGCTTATCTAGCTTCAGTCTCAATAGTCAGTACTTCTGCACCTCCTTCCATCACAGGGATAGAGAAATAAAGGCTTTTGGTACAAAACGTGTCAGATATATTGCCCATTCCATTGGCACACAGGTAGCAGTTATTCAACTGAGTTGCTTAGTATGCTAGAGATGTTCCTGCTTTGCACAGGATCCCTGAATGGTGTGTTATTACTAACTGATGCAGGGAAAGGCAAGACAGGAGTTTGTTTTTTTTTTTTTTTTTTCTCTCTTCAGGGATGTGGTATTCACTTGTTCATTTCAGCATGATACTGATTCTGAAATGCTTTTTCTTGCCTCTGGGAAGTGTCATATATTGTCTTCCTGTACTTAGTCTGGTCTTCTGAAAACTTGAGGCTATATCAAGCTAATTCGTTTACTGTTTTTCTCTTTGGAGTGGGGCAAGTGAGTCAGGATTCAGCACTTTGTTTCTGGCAGTTAATATATCTGAACGCAAGTTTGAGGTGGTCATTTTTTTTTAAACTGGAATGAATGTGATTTTTATTTTTTCCTCAAATTATAAAATAGATACATACAGGAATGTTTCACGCTGAATGAGATGTATTTTGCCAGGGTAGGGTTTGGGTAATCTGAGTACCGAAAGAGATATAAAAAATAAAATGTGGAATACCCTTCATTGAAGTTATTTACTGCAGTGGCAACGTACTCTGTGTTGCAAGTAACCATGTTTTACGTTGGAAGGCAAATCTACATCTGCATGCTCTCCCCATCTTTGCAGAGGAGACCTGTTGTTTATTAGTTAAAGGCTGTAGTTGCACAGTTACACAGAAAAATAAGTACAGCACTATATGAATTAACTTTCCAGTATATCACTCTAACTTTCTTTTCTTGTAGGTCTTGAAACGACCAGAATATTTTGGGAAGTTTGGTAAAATACATAAAGTTGTCATTAATAACAGCACATCATATGCAGGCTCACAGGTAAGTTAGAGGCCCTTGTGATTTTTTATTTTTAATTCCTTTAAAGAAAATATGTGTGTCCGGAGTGAATCTGGGGCTTGCTATTTCTGATTAAGCAATAGGTTAAAGTAGTAAAAAAAAAAAAAAAAAATTCTGTTACGTTAATGAGGCATTGTCCAGCCTGATTCTCAAAGTTGGATGCAAGATGCAATGCAGAAAGATTTAAAAAATGGGAGAAAGGATGAGAACCTTCAAAGAAGCAGCAATGTGGCATTTATTCACTAATCTACATTTCAGGGATAAAATACCTTCAGGTATTTTTAGAACTTTCAAGCAGTGTTTTGATGCATTTCATTTTTACCCCATTCTTTATGCATCACATGTAAATTTTTATGAATTATACAATTTTTGCCAGTTTTCCTGTTAAATATCTAGCCATGACTATACCAGTTTATGAAGCGAGCTGCTAAAAAAGCAACTTAATGTTCAGATCTGTCTGGGGGGGGAGAAAAAAATAAAATATGGTATGTTTTCTTTCTAGGGTCCAAGTGCCAGTGCATATGTAACCTACATCCGGTCAGAAGATGCTCTCAGAGCCATACAGTGCGTCAATAATGTGGTGGTAGACGGCAGAACACTTAAGGTGGTAACATTTTTTCATTCTTGTGTGTATGTGCTAGGACACTAGTATCAGTGCATAGTATAAAATTTTGTTTGTATGGATAAGTTTGTGTTGATGAGCAAAAGTGTCCAGTTTATTGGGTAATGGGTTTTGACCTATTTTCCTAGCGTTAATCACAACATGGAAATTCAGTGAGTTTCCAACAGGCAGTGTTTTAGGGGGTTAGCTGATAATGTCTTCAAACAAAATCTTGAGACAAAGGAAGAGATGCACCACCTCTCCCTTCCCACAGTGGCTTTTTTACTGTATAGCTTAATAGCACAGTAGGAAAACCTGATTATTTACTTTTACAGAGCATTTCTGTGGTCCAAACACCACATCTCTCAAAAGCTCCCTGGGAAGTACAAGTTTTTTTCCTTTTGGTATCTGTGTAAACAGAAATTCGGGCTGACTTGGCCAAATTGGTGGCTATAGAAAATCATCTAGTTAATACTGATTTCCTCACCCTGCTACAAAACATTAACCAGTTTCGTGTAATACAAACTCATAACTACTTATATGACTACCTATGATTATGAATGCAAATATTTACTAAGGCTCTTAATTTGACGTTTATTTAGAATGGATGAAAACAGAAATACATCCTAATTAGATAATCCTCAGGTATATAGATTTCTTAGAAATGGACTTCCTAGTCCGTCTGCATCAAAAAATGCATTATAATGGAACTCCAAATTTTGGGAAGGAATTTTTTGTTTTCCAATAAAGCTGTTTTTTTTCCTTATACTGTAAAAGGCGTTGTTAACCTCCCGTACTTAAGTAAGATTTTTTTTTCTTTTCTTCAGGCATCATTAGGTACAACAAAATATTGTAGTTATTTTCTAAAGAATATGCAGTGTCCAAAACCAGACTGTATGTATCTACATGAGCTGGGAGACGAAGCAGCCAGCTTCACAAAAGAGGAAATGCAGGTAAATATGAGTGAGAAATGCGTAAAATGTGGCGTGTATGTATTTTATTGTATATAAGTTAGTCTAATATATGTATAATGTAGAGTTTTGCTGAATGTTATGGCAGAGATGAGCTTTGTAATCAAAAAGGTGATTAACCAGTTGGATATTGGATATTGGAAGTGAACAGTTAGTTTAATTTTTTTCATTGCATGCTGCTTTTAAAGGCTGAAAAGTCCACTGAGTGTTCATGAGCCAATAAGATGGAGATAAGCTTATTTGAATTCCTGGCTAAGAGTTTAAGTTACCTACTTGTTCTTTGTTCATACCAGTGCAAGGTAACATATGTTATTTTAAATCTCTGAAATGAGTTAGTGCAGATCTGGGTTATCCTGTAGGCTTTGTGTATGTGGCCAGTTACTGTGGCTTAACTGTTGTACTGTGATTTGACCATGCTATCTGAATTCTGATATTCACATTAGCCTGTGAAGCGTATAGAAACCATTTGGAAATACAACATTGAGGGTAACTGTAATAAAGCATAAATACTGATGGGCGGATTTTTTTACTATATCAACATCAAAATGCTTATTCTCTAAGGTAGGGAAGCAAGTAAGTAGATAGTTTTCTCAAAGGTGGTGTGTTCTGAGGACTTTGGGGACTGGGTCTGTCTCTCTATGTGAGGTATGGTAAAGCTTTTAAACTCAATATGCCAGCCTTGCATCCGTGCTGCAACTTTTGCATGTGGTCTGTCTATGAAGCAGGTGGTCCCCACCCCTAGTGCTAACACAAATGTTGTACAAATAGATTTTATTTCATTTGTTAGGCCAATGTAAGTCAGAGAGTAAGGAAGAATGTCCATCTCTATTAAACATAATTAGCCATTATTTGTGAGGATTTCAACTACATTTTCATAAATTATAGAAATACTCTGCTGATTCAGATGAATAGTCCTTGTAGTATGTATTTTGTCACAGATAATGGCAATAGGAGGTAAAATTCAAGGAGAAACTGTAAACCAGGCCACCTTCCCGGTTCATTTCTCTGTATTTCTCCCACCACTTAGATCTGTTACATTATACATGTTTGAGGGTATGTTCCTGTCTAGGCTTTTTAGTTTTTCATAGAGCTGTCAGCCATGAATTTATTTAATCCGTTTTGAATCTGCTGATACTGTCAACCCAATAGTCTTTTGTGGCATCAAGCCCCAGAAGTTCACCAGCTGTTTTTTAAAGTGCTTTCTTTTGTTTGTGTTACTGATCTCCAGCTAGTTCTGTCAAGTGTCCCCTAATCTTAGCATTGTAGTACTTGCTGAAAGCAAAACCTGTATTCACCTTATCCATTGCCTTTGTGATATTGTAAAACTTGATCTTCTCTCTCTCAGCCTTCTCTCCAAATCACGCGGTTTTTGGACTTTTACACTTTGTAAAGCAATTCCTCCCTTTCTCTGATAATTTCTGTTGCACTTCTGTGTACCTTCTAACTGTGTCCTCCTTAATATGCAGAGGTGGGATGCATCATACTTGTGATGTGAGGGAAGCAAAGTTTAATACGGCAGTCCTCTGTGGTTTGTGTGTAGTGTGGGGTGGGGGAGTGTTTTTGGTTTTGGTATATTTTTTTTTTTAAAGTGCCCTTCCTAGTGATGCCCAGCACAATTTTTGTGCTTGGTTGCTGGTGCATCATAAACTAACTGTTTCAGAGATCTTTTGCCAGTAACTTCAGTATCTCTTCTCATAGCTGTAACAACCAATTCACAGATCAGTAGAGCCTTAGTGTGGTTTAGGCTACTTTTCCCTTGGTGTGTTACCTGACGTCTCTGGTGAAGCTTGTTTGCCACCTTTTTGGCTGTTTGCCGAGTTCTCTGATGTTCTTTTGGAGTTCCTCAGTATCAACATGGCAGTTTACTACCCAGAGAGCTTCATATTTTCAGCAAAGAACTTGCTTTTCACCCCTTTCTCATGTATGCTGATAGTTTTGCAGAAAACCAGTACCAGTCATCAGTCATCACTGCTTGCTTCTGCAGTAAGTCTTACCTTTGCCTTTCTGTCTTTGACCTAGCTTTAATCCACACAAATGCCTTTCCTCTGTACCAGGGCAGCTTTGTAAATAACTTTCAGTGTGAAACCTTATCACAGTCTTTTTTTGAAAATTTGGTGGATCCTCTGTTTATGCTTATTGACACTATCATAACATTCCGTCACATTAGTGAAGTAAGATTCTCCTTTACAGAAAATGTTCAGATTCATTCTCAGCAGACTGTGTTTGTCCATTAACTAATATCTTTTTTTTTAAGACAGACTTTATAATCTTAGGAGGGATGGAGGTTGAACTTAGCGATGTGTAGTTCATAGGAACTTTTCTACAGCCGTTTTTGTAGAAGACAGTGGCAACCTGTCTGTCCTCTGGCCTGAATGCCAGTTAAAGTTTATAGGCTGCATATCTTGGCCAGGAATTCAATTTCACGTACAAGTTTCTTGAGAAGCCTTAAGTGGATTATACTTGATCTTGGTGACTTAAATTAATCTTCCTTTCCTGATCTTTGTTACATTCCTTAAACTTTCTTCTTGATTTCGCATTGCTTTCTTGGAAGTTGTTGGAAATTCCAGAACTACTGAAGAGTGCATTGTGTTTTCAGTGCACCAGCTTTCTGGAGTTTGGGTTAGTGTCAATGAATTTACAGGTCTGTTTAATGGGATAGAATGTTCATTGTCACAGACACTGATTCTCTATTTAAAAGAAAAAAAAAAGTCAATGGATGAACTTATGTTCTAGGTTCAATAATTGTTAATAGAGCTAAACATTGTGACAAACTGAAAAGAATTCATAGAACTCCAGAATTTCCTCAAAATGAAGTTGGGAATTTAGATAAGGTAGGTTAGAGATGCTAAGCTTGGCCTTTGGATTGCTTGTTATAAATAAAGCAAGATTGTGTCGAGCTCCTGTGTAGGATTTTAGTCTTGCTTCTTTCTTACATTTATGTGACAGGTAGGTGAGCTTAGTACTGGCCTGATGTTCCTGGCTGTGATGTTGTCTTTTGCCACTGAAGTCTGAAGCAAGATGAGATATACAGGGAGGTTTCTTTTTACTCAGCTGCTTAATGCTTGCAGTGCAGATTTGTGCATCTGAGCTAGCTGCTTAGATTCTGTTCGTAGTGGATGGTGAAAGAAGCATTTCCTGGGTACAGTATATCTCAAAGTTTGTATTTAGGTGAACCAGTCTCTAGAACCACACTTTTTTCTACTGTAGGTAGTAGTTTGGGTGTAGACACTGACGAAGTCAGATAAGATGACACATACATGAGATGTTTCAATGTCCTTTTTTAAGGGTTGTGTAGGTTCACTACATAGACACATTCGGAATCAGTCAGTAACGTAGAACTGGAAAATTAAGTAGCGAAAAACCTGGAGACATTTGTAGTGTTTGACTGACTTGAAATATTCATATGGGATGTGCAGTTGCCCTTCTAAAGGAGCCCATAAGGGAATTTAGTTTGTCAGCAGTACTGTTTTTTGAATTTTGTAAAATATTCCTCCTTTTTTTAAGGAGAGAAAAAAGGCAACTAATAGTTTTCTTTTACTTTGTGATAGTTTTCTAGGAGGGTGTCGACGTTGCCTGTGCATCAATTCCATTCCTGTTCCAACAAAACATTTATGAAGGGAATTAAGTAATGTACAAACATTGATTTTTTTTTTTTTTTTTTTTTTTTTTTTTTAGATGTACAGGTAGTGTGAGAGCTTTTAAATCGATACTGAAGATGTAATAATAATGTATGTGTTCCAGACTTTAAATTCAGAAGGCCTAACCATAAATCTTGGCACTTGTTTCCTTTGCTAAAGGACATCTCTTCGTATCTGGAAACTCTAGATAAAAGCTATTGACAACTTCAAATTTACTGTTCTATTTTGTATTTTGATTCAACTCATTACAATACTTAACTTGCAAATAGTAGTTCTTAGGCTGGAGTGTTGTAACAACCTACAAAAAATGTGAATGCTCATCATGAACTTGTTTCAGGTGTCACTTTAGATGTTGGGGGGGGGGGATTTGCTGATTTTGGTTTAACTATTGAGCCACCGAATGTTACAGACTGAATAACACTCTCTTCTTCATTCAGTATTCTGGAGTTGGATTGGGCCTTCTCAGTTCCTGAAAGCAAGCTCTTGTTCTCCATTAATTCAATTAGTTAAAAGAGTATTTCAATTTTTCAGTTATTAAAAAGAATGATTTACCAGTTACTGCTCAGCATATACTTGTAGTCACATGTTAGTTAACTCTCAGACCACCTCTGTTTTTATTAAGCCGATATAAAATTACTTCAGTTTTGGAACTTTTAGGTTAAAAGAGAGACTCTTTGCTTCTTCCTATTTTCTGAAAAGCTTATTATAGTTGATACATCAAATGCAGACTGTCGTGGAGATTTAACTGTTTGCGATTTAGAAGGTATATTGGGAAGCTCTTGAATAGAACTGAAGAGCAAGTTCTAATAAGGCTGTAACTTTTTTTATGCTTTAAAATTCTCAAAAAAAATAGAAATTGGTAAATACCACCAATGGATTTCTAGGCAAGCTTTAGATTCGTTGAGATCATATCTGTGCTGAGATTGAGAAGGACTGTTTTGAGTTTCAGTCAGGAGTGACCTGTTGTTAAAGCTCAGTTACTAAGCTTTGAGACATACATATGTACATTTATATATAAAAAATATTTTTTCGTATCTATAGAAACGTATATTAAACCAGTATTCATTCATTTTGAGTTTGTTTTTCCTTAGGCGGGTAAGCACCAGGAATATGAACAGAAACTACTGCAAGAATTATACAAACTAAACCCCAACTTTCTCCAGTTATCTACGGGTACAGTTGACAAGAACAAGAACAAAGTGACAGCACTGCAGAGGTATGATGCGTAAGTACTGGTACTGGACTGCCTGGCTATACTTTATTTCTATTTATTCCCAAAGAAAGCTTTTTTTATTCCTATAGTGTCCCCTAAGTTGCCTGATCTTTTTAGTGCTTATTATATGATGAAATCTGATAGCGGTTTTCTCCGTGCAGAAAGAGACCACTCTGCACCACTTTGTCATAGTACAAAGTGAGTGTGACTTAGTAAAGGAGTGTTTTTCTGCTGTGTGCATTTGGATCACTAGTTCAGAATGAGGTATTCTTATTCTGAAAGAAGACCTTGTATTTTGTATTTGCATAAACACATAATATTTATTGAAGACCAGATGTCAGCTTTGTTGGTATGATGTCATGATGAATGCAGTCTGTACTCTCACAACTGAGACACCTTATAGTCTTGATACATGTTTTTTTTTTTATTGTGGTTTCTTTACATCATGATTTATAGTGCAGTACTTACATTAGGTGTAAGGACCTTGGAAATTGAAAGCAAGATAAGTTTTTTCCTTTGTGTGAGTAAGAATTCACAAGATGTGAATAAAAGATTTCTTGCTTTCATCTAGTAAATTTAAATGATGTGTTTTTCACTATGTTGTAATTGCAGATATGACTTTCTACTGCTTGTTAAAATAGTATTCTGTTGAAGTAGCTTATTCAGTAAGTTACAAAAAGACTTCTGTCCATATGAGTACATAGTCATACAAAGACAAGTGAAAGCCTAAAGGTTGTCAGTCCTGATGTGAATTGTCCACTCAAATGTCATATTTAAGACAAAGAAATAAAAACTGTTAACAATTTCTTCCACTCCTTTTTGTAGGATTTTCATAATGAGATGGACAGAGTGGAATGTAAAATTGTGCTTCTTACACACCTTGGCCTTGTAATTGGGGGTTGTGTTGTGTGCCAGTTTATCCACTACTTAATTTTTCAGACAATAATTTGCCACTGGCAGCACAACTGCACAACAGGTTAAGCAAGAAAGTGGGTACAGTATCTAAAATACTGCCAATGGAGTTTGAATAAGCAGAATATAATTCTGAGAACTGGTATCGCAGCTGGTGTACTGGGATTTTCTTTAACTTCTGGAGAAAATGTCATATGCTCTTTGACTGCAAGTGGTCACGAACTCTAGTAGGATCTTTTCTTAAATACTGTGACATTTTTTATTTCTTGGGCACTGGTTCAATATTGACTTGGAAGGTAGAGTGCAGCGAGTAAAGCAAATCCACCACTTCCTGTATTTGGTTATTGATTGTTTTATATTCAAAATCTGAACTAATCTTAATTTGAAACCTAATTGGATCCCAGCAGAACAAATGATAGTAGCGAGGAAAGAATGCTCTATATGAAACTGCAGCACGCTTTTAAGCCTGAATTGGAGCTTGACCAAGATGTGGTGCTAACTTGTTGGCACTTGCAGAAAAAAATGTCATGTTGCTCTAAAGGCAAGAAGTGGTCTGGAGGGAATTTTTCTTGTCAGCTGAACGGCATTATGACAACACAGACTCTGTTCTTTCCTGATGGCTAGGCACCCACCACCTTTTGGGTTGCAAGGTGAATTTCTTCTTGCAGCTGGGACTTTGAAATGTTTCTTCAAGTCCCATCTCATCAGTACGAAATGTAGCTTGTGAGCTGGTGAATGTGTGGTGTTCTCCTTCACAGCTTTCTACCCAATGGGGTTCTCAGTTTTGTCTGATTCATTGATACGATATTAATATTTCTGGCAGTTTGTCAGAAATTGTGACAATTTTATGGTTGTTCTTGTGTTTCTGGGATTTCTGTTTCACTCTGGAATTGAACAGAAGTTGAGTTCTAAATAGTAGGTGTTTAATTACAAATATCCAGTAGTAGAAAACAGTTTCTTAAACTGTGCATAAATGCTTTTTCACAATTGTGTTCTAATTTGAAACGTCCTACTCGCAGACCTTTTTTCTTGCTGCTGAAGGCAAATGTTAAAATCACCCAGTGCCACTTTGTGTATGTGGTGTTTGGTACTCATCTCTTGGTATGTCACTTGATAGTCATGGTAACTGCATTCTCTTACTGTTAGAGGTATATTCCACATTTAAAACAGATCAAGCTCTTTTTTTCCCTTTTTTCCTCCTGATTTTTTCCTGAAGAACTGAAGTGAATGCATTTTTATGCTACACATGGAAACACTTGTTAAGCACTTGCTGGTCTTGTAGACGACAGCCCTTTAGAAGCATGCAGCTTTGAACTTAACCAAAACACCAAAAAAACCCCACACCCCAAAACACAGAACAGTTTCTTTCTCTGTGCCTCTCTCCTTGGATGCAAAACTGACTTTTTATCTGTGAGATTTTAATTCGCTTTAGTACAGAGGTGGCTTTGCACTGCAGAGGACGTAAATTTTGATATTTAAAATAAATTTGATTATGGATTTTGTAAGGGTGAGAGTATAAATGACTGACATTGCAGTGATGAGTATGTGTCTTCGTTCTTTGATGTTCAATATCTCATAAACTAACTGATTTCAAAAGTGTACAAAGCAAAGATGAGATCTCTAAATCAGATCAAGGCTCTCATCTGTGTACGTCATTTTATAAGTGTATGAGAAAAAAAAGAGGTAGAATAGCAAATCTTAGGAATACTAACTGAGATTTGATGGTAGCTAATAGTGCCAATTTTGTCTGAATAGGAGTAGGAAACACTTGTGTTGCTGTAAGTGGCTACAGGAGTTTCCGGATTCTGACTGTGAACTTACTAAATTGACCTAGAGATACAGAGTAAATATTGGACCATGTAATAAGAACGTATTAAGGAAAGGGGACATCAGGAGGAACATATGTATTTAAAAAAATTTTTTTTTTAAAGCTTCTTCCTATGAAGACAGCACTTGGATACTAAAAACAGCATGCTAACTGAAGTAAATGAAAATCTAAAGTTAATGCAAAAGAACTGGAGAACACAAAGTCAAATCTTCTATAGTGAGATTGTAGGGTTAGTGGATGAGACTGTATTTGAATGCATTCAGTTAAAGATGACTTTCCAGCTTGCTTCAACTTGTGTAAAATGTAACTATTTTCAGCAAAACCTTGGGCTTTGAGTCCTCTCTTGAACTTTTCAGATCTAATGTGCACACTAAAATGAGATGAAATGTTGCTTTGTACAAGGGAAGTAATTACAGCTTTAAACTAGAAATGAAGGGAGAAGTAACTCGAATGAACAGTGTGTTGATCTGACTGGTCTCATGGTCTGTTAGTAAAGCTGTGGACCCCTGTGTAGACGTAAAACACAAACTTCATCTGTTGGGGCCAGGCTTTATAGGGCCTGGAATATAAAACACTTATTTAAAAAAAAAAAAAAAAATCATGATTTACAGAACTTACAAATACTGGCGAGATAAAGCAAATAATTTTAAATGAGGTGTGTGTAGGTCTGGATACTTGAAGCTGTCAATGGCTTTTGGTGGGTTTTTTTGTTTTGCTTTTTTATTATTACTTTTTTCTTCTTCCCTAAATGAATGAGTTTGGACTTCAGCGTTGGCAGAGCAGCTATGTATTCAGTGAAGAAAACAGGATTACCCCCAGTTTTCTCTCTCCCCTCTCTACCCCACTAATTCTTTTTTTATGTCATCACCATTTAAAATCTGAGAAATAATACACAGATAATTCTATTCTTATGGATTATCTGGCACAAGGATTCATTTCCCCAGTGCTTACAATTTTTAAAAACACTTTCTTCATAACTTGAACTCTTCTTTTTTTTTTTTTTTACTCTTGCCTTTTTCCAGACCGAACAGTAATAACAAAGATGCCTGGCCATCATTACAGAGTTCAAGTAAATCAGCCAACGGTTTAACAATGGAACACAGGAAAACGCCTCCTATATTAGAAAATGGCACAGACCCAGAACACATGACTCCAGATGGTGCAGACTCAGATTTCGGGTAATTGTGCTGCCTTTTATACTTCAGCTAGCTTGCTTTCTCTCTCACTGATTTGGTGTGGAGGGAACGATTCTCCAGTCTCTCTCTGGTTGGAGAGCTGGATTCAAATCCTGATCAGGTCACAAAAAGCTGGGCTTAGCCTAGCCCGTGTCAAAAAGACTGATTGGCAGATTGTGCAGGAGAGCCCTTACAAGAAGTTAGTAAGTGATGGTACAGGTAAGGGCTGAGGGGAACTGAATAACTAGGGGTTCAACAGCTTACATGATCCCAGCCAGAGCTAAGCCCTTCATTTCTATACAGAAGCTTTCACAGAAGTAGCACACTGCTTGGTACACATAAGGAGGCTTGTCACTTGGAAGAGCTTCAGTGGGAGGAAGCTAAACGTTAGGGCTGAATATCTCTTGTCTCTTTACAATGATGTTCCAGAAACACAACTGCAGAGGTTAGCGTTCCCTGATTATCACTCAGTAACAGGAGCAACAGAGCAGCAGGTTTGACTGAGGCTTCTTTGTGCAGAAGTAGTAATTTGTCTGCTTGCAATAACTTTTTTTATTGCTAATCAGCGTTTTTCCTCTTTTGGTGCCCTTCTTGAATAGTACTGGTGTCTTCTTCCATCAGAAGTATCACTTGCAGTTGCAATAGTAGTCTCCAGTCATGCAGTTTTGTTTTTTATAGACCCCCTTATTTAATGTTAGTTGGGCTCATTCAGAGGTTAGATGGGAAAATAACAAGGTAAACCCTAATATTTCAAGAAGTGGTGTTGCCAATTAGGTAGCCAATCTTCGTTTTAAATCAATATTGAACCAATGCATTAACATTGTGAATGCTGTTGAAATTACTTGCTCGTAAGGCTTAATAACAGTCCCCGTTGAGGTGTGGTCTGAGATGGTGTTGTCTGAGATGCTGTGCTTGTGTTGCAGTAGTGACGTGCAGCTTCCTTATCTTTTCTGAAAAGAATGGGCTAACCGTAGGTAAAAATATTCTAGCCAGTGCATAATGAATCTTGTTCATTTGTGAGGGCTGGAAGCCGGTGTTAGAGTTAAAGGCTTCTTAGGCAGATTCAAGTCTAATAAACACTTTCAGCGCTTAGACTGTCATTAAAAGTTGTCTGTCTTACACATAGCTTTGTAAACTGAAGGATTATGACTTCATCAGCAGCTTTGGGAAAAGGATTTGGCTGGAATATCAGGTCTACAATCAGAGTGACTGTGGTGTAGTGAAGAGTCTACAGCAAACTTGTGCTATAGGTATTCAGAAATTACTAACTCAGGGCAGTTTGTTCTAAATGGAAGAACCTTATACATGCCGCTCAAGCGCTGGGTAGAAAGTATTTGTAAATCTTCACTGGAGTAATGCTTGTTTGCAAGTATGTTCTTTTGCTTTTTCTTTTATAGTCATAAATGTTTCAGTTATCTTGTTGAGATACTGCCTCAATCCAGTGTTGTTCTGCACAAAAATTGTTTTTATTGATGGATTGCTGTTATACAGTTTATTTAGAATGAAGAACAATTAATTCTGCTGGGTTTTGACTCTAGTTATTCACGGAGAACAGATATGGGGGGAAGTGATCTTCCAAATTTTTGACCTTGATGTGTGGCTTTATGCAGTATTTAAACTTTGCAGCAGCAAGGGATGTTTGAAAACAAGATGTAGCTAGAATCTGAAGTCTGCACCCAGTTAAAATAATTATATATGTATTTGTCTTGTGCTGCCACATTATGGCCAGAATTTGACTTGTATCACATTCTGGCCTCTTAATGGAACTGAAATTCATGTTCGTACTTCTGGTCCTTGTTTGTAGGACCAGTGTTTTGGGCTGTGCAGCCTGATGCTTGCGCATCTTCTCTTACAGGTAGATTAAATTTAGAATCCTCAATCCTGAGATGTGCCATTTCAGCCAAGTTATATTAATTCCCAGTGAATAGCTTTCCGAGGTGGTTTTCTGCTGTATCTTACCTTTTATTCTCTTTTATGTTTGTTGGCAGGGTTTTTATGCTGTATCTTTTCCTGCAGCGTTCCTCTTCTGTTGTCTCAAAACTCAAGTCATCTTACCTTGGAGCAAACTTCTGCTGGTTAAAGCTTGAAGGCTGGCAGGAGGCTTAACTTGCCATCAAGACTAAATAGTTAATCTTTCCTCTCTCCACAGATTTATTTAGGACTTGTGTGGGAACTGACAACGTAGGTATTTGGAAAACGAATCTGTTCCCAAGTTTCTCTCCAGTAGTAGTCAGTGCCATCTATGCTACTACAGAATACTGCCATAGTACAAGAGTCCTGTTTTTTTGAATGGCATAGAGTTACTAGGAATATGTTTAAAACTTTCCTTTTCCTTAACAGGGCAATCAACAAGCAGAGTGGAGAGTGGTGTGAAGAAGTATTACAATATATGGCAAATTATTGTAATGCTTATGACTTCAAAAAAGCAGTCTCATAAATAATAAATGGACTTTTTTCCTTCTTAATTCCAAATTAATTTTGCTTTATTTCAAGGCTTTTCTACAGCTACAAAAGCAAATGTTGATTTTTAGGTTAAATACTTGAGTGTCTTATTGTCTCTTTTCCCCTCCCACTTTTGCAGCCCTATCGACAAACCTTCAGATTCCCTCAGTATAGGAAACGGTGACAGCTCCCAGCAGGTAAGACATAAAGATAAATGCTGTGAAAGTAAGAATTGAGTTTGAGGGCTTAGTACAACTTGTAATTGGAGAAGCAAGTACTTTCTGAAGTGTATAATAATTCTAAACCTAAAAAATGCTACTACTAAGTTGATTTTTATTTTTTACCTTGTACGGAGCTATATATATATATAAACTAACCTAATTGCAGCCAAAAGTTCTGAGGAAATTTTTCAACTCTATTAGTGAAGAGTGTTTTATATATAGACACCCATGTCCTAATTGTTTCTCTTCCTCTTTTGCCTGTAGATGACAAACAGTGACACACCTTCACCACCGCCTGGTTTAGCAAAATCCAATCCAGTCATACCCATCAGTTCATCTAATCACAGTGCACGGTCTCCTTTTGAAGGGGCCGTAACAGAATCACAGTCGCTCTTCTCTGACAACTTCCGGCACCCTAACCCCATCCCTAGTGGGCTTCCTCCATTCCCCAGCTCTCCACAGACTTCAAATGACTGGCCCACAGCACCAGAACCACAGAGCCTCTTCACATCAGGTATGTACACAGGTTATATGGCTGCGTATTGCTTGATTTTGCAACTGATGTCTAAAACTGTGTAGAACCAAAAACTCTGGGTCTTGCTCCATACTGTTTTTCCCCCTTCACGAATGATTAAAATTTGTTGCTTAACTACAGATAAATTCCACTGGCTTCTTCTAGAAGAAACTTTACAAACTTCTCCAGCTGCATGGCTAAATTATCAGTGTGCTTATTTTAGATTTTTCTTAGCCATGTGCCGGTCTAAATAGTAGGATGTGACATGTATGTTTAATGTCACGGGTTTTTATTGACAGTGGGGAAAATATTTAGTGTCAGTACATGTTGGTGTAATAATCTGTTATAATCTGTAATTCTAACATCAGAAGCTGTGCAGTGGAATTCAGAATTTTCTGTAGTACCCTGTATAGTTATCTGAAGGTGCCTAATTTTTCTCTTTCCAAAGTGAGATTACATGCATTCAGAGAAGATAAAAATACGGTTAATGGCATCAACTGAAAGATACCTGTATTTTCCAGGTACTTTCCTATGAAATACCGCTTCGTATGAATGAAACATTGTTTTAGGTGTATTTAGATAGTCTTGGGAATTGTTAGCACTATTTAAGAGTTCACAAATTATAAATTTGAAGCAGTTGTTGGAAAACTAAATGAAAAAATATACTTTGGGACACAGTTAGTTTACTTAGTGATGAATCTTCTTCGGATGTTTATCTGACTTCCGGATGTCACAGTCGTGTTTGTAAACAATATTTATTGCCAAGGAAATTACCTGATGCTCAAGTACTACAGGCACCAATTTTGTGAGGATTAAATAGCAGTGAGAGACAATTTCCAGGTAGTAGAGATCTTGTTCGTTTCATAATTAATGTAAAATGTATGGTTGCTATTTAAATAAAAATATAACGTCAAATTTTTGTCTGTCTAGCAATTCTTTTTTATCTGTTGTCATGGATTTTTGAAGTGAAAATAGAAGTGTAGATTTCTTTTCTATGAGGATACTGGGCTTAATTTTAACTCCTTAAAGCCGCAGATCAGGTTCCCTACCAGCAGAGGGAGTTAATGTTGTGAGTGATACTGCATCTGAGTATGTTGTACTCATCAGTTTGTATTACGCCTTTTTTGGGGAAAAATACTGTGAAACTAGACCCAGTGTTCACTGAACCTGAAAAAGAAATGAAATGAAATAGTAGTTGAAAATGCAGGGAGATTCTGATAAACCTTTTTTACAACACTGCCTCAAAATATTTAACAATATCTTGTAATGTAGTTACATATTTCCTTTTGTTTTATCGAGGCGTCTGCTCAAGAATTTGGCTTTTTTTTTTTTCATCAGTGGGTTTTTTTTTAACCACTGCTCAGAGGTTCCCCTTTGTGAGGGATCGTCTCCTCCCCACCTTTCTTGCACAGCAGAGCTGAAGCACGGCATTAATACTGAAAGCAAAATACTGAACTGTATAACAACCTTATTTAAGCTCTGCGTGGTTACACTTCCCTCAAGCAATATGGGTGTAAAGCAGGTTCTAAGCAAGTGTTTCTTAGTCTCTTTCTACCTGGTGCTATTACTGAAAATACTTATTTGACAAGGCTTTTCCGTCGTTTTGCAGTAAAAGTACTATTTGCTGGTTCTCCTGCTTCACTGTAAGTAGAAATCTATGACAATTTGATCTGAAAATGGCATTCTAAGCTGATGAATAAAGTGTCTTTGGGGAGCGTATATAGAAGTATTACATGAAAGATAACTGGCAGCATAGATTCAGATACACTGAGGCTGAAATTCTTGTATGGATAAATACTTACTAATTCTTGCTCTGAATCCTGTTCCTCTCCGGCAGAAACTATACCAGTATCCTCCTCCACAGACTGGCAAGCGGCTTTTGGGTTTGGTTCCTCCAAACAGCAAGAGGACGACTTAGGGTTTGACCCCTTTGACATCACCCGCAAAGCCTTAGCAGACCTGATTGAGAAGGAACTGTCAGTCCAAGACCAGCCTTCCCTCTCACCCACAACTCTTCAGAACCCTACCCCACACACTACAGCTGCCAAAGGGCCAGGCTCTGGATTCCTGCATCCTGCTGCACCTGCAAATGCCAACTCTCTCAGTAGCACCTTTCCAGTCATGCCACAGAGGTTCCCACAGTTTCAACAACATCGAGCAGTTTACAACTCCTTCAGTTTTCCAGGCCAAGCAGCTCGCTATCCTTGGATGGCCTTCCCACGCAATAGCATCATGCACTTGAACCACACAGCAAATCCCACCTCAAACAGTAATTTCTTGGACTTGAATCTCCCACCACAACACAGCACAGGTCTGGGAGGGATCCCTATATCAGGTAGGTGAATCGGGACAGCCGTGAATATGACTTAATTCATGCTTTGAGCTTCTCTGAGCCAGGACAGGAAAAGGGAATAGCCAGCTACAAGTGGTGGAGTGGTGTCTCTTGACTGTCATACTAGGTTTATGAACAGAGGGAGGAATATTGTTTTAAATAGGCCCTTTTCATTTGAAAAACCTTATTTGGATGTTTAGCCTTGTAATATTGAGCTTTATAAGGAAGGTGGAGTATTCTGTGCCCGCTTAATTTTGTGCCAAAGCAGATTGGTATTTTGGTTCTTCAGTCTTGCCAGACTGGCTTTCCTTAAGAGTAGGCCCTGGAAGCGCATTGTGACTTCCACGTCGACAGGCAGGTGCTGACCGGAGTTCTTAAAATTGTGCAAAAAGTTGTAATGATGGTAGTTTGTTCCAGATGTCTTGGCTGGGTTGTTCCCTCTTGCGCATAACCAAATGGCTGCACAATAAAATATCCAGTGCTGTTCATTTCTGTACTTCACATGGCATTAATATTATGCTAATCTTTCACTGAATGGATGCTTGCAATGTGTGTAAGAAAATTCATCCTCATTGTAAGGATTGTAATGTTGGAGGAAAATAAATGCAGTCAGGCCAGTTCAGGCTGGCCTGAATGGATTGATAGGCTCTTGCAGCAATGTACAATTAAGGAGCTAGTTGTAACAATAATTGTCTTGATTAAAAATTAACTCCTGGAGTTTGAAGTCCTTCCATACTTCCAGTTTAGCTTGGCCCAAACAGGTTCCCTTTTCCTCACAGGGGGAAAAAAATTGTATGAAGTGCATAGTGAACCGCAGGTAGAAAGTCTCTGCAAGCTCTTTGTAGGCTTGAGATGGAAAAAACTGCTGCTTGGGATGTTGCCAGGTTTATTTTCTTTTCATGGGTTTTGAGATGTACTAGCTATAGTATAAGGAAGTGACCTAGACCTAGTGACCTAGTCACTGCATGTTTTTGATGCTCTAGTACAAGAGATAATTTTGGCTGTTAGCTTCTTTGTACTTTGTCCTCTTTGAAGGCTTGTTGAAGCTCCAGTAGTGCTGTAGGGTCCTTAAGCTGATTCATAGCATAAGCACTTGGTCCAGGCTACAAATGCAAGTAGTTCAAAACTCTTTATACTGGCAGTGGCAAAGTTGCTTTTGTTTTTGTTTTTTTTTTTTTAGACTAAAATGACTGATACTGGTTACACTGAAGTGTAAAAAAAAAATCATGTGATGTCAAAATGTGGCATCCATAGCACTTTCTCCTAAACTACACAGAGCTTCCAGGAACATTGCAAGACATCAAGTTTTGCCTTTACCCCTAAGTTCTAAAAATTGCTAGTTCAAGGGGCCAGTAACAAGACTATTGTCTGGACTAGGGGGACTAAAAAAATCCTTTAGTGCTGAAAAAGATCTGTTTGTAGTACAGTTTGATTCTAGGTTTGCAAAAGTATTCTTTAAATTGCATTACTTTAATTGCCTTCAGCAGGCTGAAAGTGGACCTCTTCTGTTGTAGAAGACTCAGATCCTTGGTACGACTCCTGAAGAGCCAGTTGTGTGGTGCTGGTTGATGCACAGCCCATGTCATGTACTTCCCCCATATGTTTTAAGGCAACAGAGTTGCTATTTAAGTATATCCTTTTTTGCCTGCAACTGCTAGAACCAATTAATCTCAAAATATTTTTGGCAGATACAGTGCTAAGAACAGAAAATAAACATCTGCTGTAGTCTCTATGGAAAGTTCCCTTGACTTAGTCTTAATCTCTTGTTGGAGAAAACATTGTTAGCTGCCTCGCTGACAATTAGATAGCAGCAGTTGCCGCAGTGCAAACGCTTCTCAGCTGATCTACATGTCAGCTTCGATCTGTCTTGAAAGAAGAATCATTTGCTCAAACACAGATTTACTCCTTTTCCTGTTGTCAGAAATCAGCTGAAGTCTCAGGTAGTTCTGGTTTTGTTTGTTGGGTTATGGATTTGTAGTATTTGTGTGCTATTTAGTGCCTAGGGTTTTCTTTGGTGATCTGACTGCTTCAGAAGTACAAATAATGTGAAAGTCAGGACATGTCCTCATATCTCTTTTTTGTGTGCTGACTTAATAGTTCCCAATTTATTGATTATTCTGACTTTTCAAATCCATATCTGGTGTATAGGTCTCTCAGCAAATTCCTTTTATGTTCTTTGTAAAACAATTCCTGTTCTTTATGCTTACTTTTAATTTATCAGTAGCAGATATATAATTACAGAATTTTCCTCGTTTCCTCATTTGATTTACAGATACAGCTGTCTGGTGGGGTTAGGGGAGGAAAGTGGTGTACAAGTACGGAGAAATCATAGCGATGGGACTTTATTGCAGTGCTTTGTAACAGACTCTAGCTGACCTGCTAGAAATGTGGTGGGTATCATAACTGCCGTTTAGCAGTGTGGAGAGATTGGTTGTATACCTGAAGCTCCCTTTTGTTAGCTCTTTTGTTAGTCTGTATTGGGGTGTTTTAGTAAACACCCCCAATTCAGCTATTTCAGATGTAACAGCAAAAGAAACCTAGTGCAGGTGAAACCTCACATTCTGTCTTCTAGCAGAGACCTTCAGTAGCTTTCAGAGATGCATGTTTCCTAAGGTCCTCGATCACAATTTTTTACAGGACTATAAATTCCTAAAGCAGATGATACTGGACCAGTCATTTAAAAAAAAAAACAAAACCAGACACATTTATTTATTTTGTGTATTTGCCTGCACAATTTAATCAACCCTTTTCAACTTTTCTATTTCACTTACATGAAAACAAGCAGATTTAAAAACTTTTTATAACTTCATGTGAAGTTAGTATACTATTTTCTAGGCTTTCTAAATCCAATGTTAGTTCACTTCACCAAGTGTGCTTGTGGTTTGGAGGCTTATATGAAGAAAACAATCTCTTTAAAGCTGCTGCGGCTTCTGTTTTAGGTAGGCATTAGTGTTCATATGAATTTGAAATGTTTGTGTGACATGGTAAATGTAATATTCTGAAGCTACCTTTTGTTTAGTTGAGAATCAGAGCTGTGCTGTATTTGTAATCCCACAGCTCCAAGTAGGGCTGTTTTGTGATGTGAACCAGACTTAAAATGGAGGGACACGGGCACTAACTACATTTTATAAGCTCTCATTTTAAAATAATTTCTATATAAAATTTGTAGCCTGTTTTTCAGGGGAAGTAGTATTTATTAAACTCATTCTTCAGTTTCCAGTGAAATGGCACAATGACACGTGATTGACTTCATAATGTTATTATGCATATACCTGAAATGTGTCATACTCGTCAGGCATACATTTGTCCCCAACCCATATTTACATGAACTTTTTGACTGACTAATTCACAAACTAGGATTTTTTTTCTCCCCCCGCTGTATGATTTTGCAAACTGTAGCAGATGTTACATGTTCTCATTGTAAGGGACAATTTAGGCTTGTTGCTGTTCTGTGGCGTGGGATGGATTAGATGATTTATTGTGTAATTGTAACTGTGCCTCAGGAGAAAAATTCAGTGACTTCTTATTCATGGACAGCATAATTGTTGCTAAAAGCAGTCTTACCCTAGATTGTGTGCAAGCTGTCCCAATAATATGGGACAGCATCTATGCTTTATTCTGCACATAATGCCAAAGGAAAGATCTAATGACAGCAATGTGGGTGGGTGGGTGCCTTTATTTTTATGTTACTTTAGGATAACGGGAAACTCTGTAATTTGATAACTAATACGCTATCATCTGTGCTACCCTACTGTCCGGTGGTGTATTCTAACATAATAGGTATATTACTGGATGATAAAGTAGGACTCAGATTAACAGAGTGTATAGAAGTTTTACTTCTGGAATTCACAGAGTGGCTGGTCGTCGTTGATTTTATTACACAGAAAAAGTCTAAGAACAAAATCACACAGTTAAAAGTATGAGTATAAAGCTGTTAATAGTCTGCCTTTCCTGTCAGGTCTATGCAAGATGAAGTACTTGACATTTTGAAACACTGGCTGTTACTTCATTTATTAATTTCATGATTACCTTGAACATAATTCCAAATGAGACAAAATTTAATTGTAAGAACTTGCAGATTTAATAGCAGTGAGATAGTTTGAAATTTGAACTGTTCCAAGACTGATGCTACACAATAGTGTGTATATATTCTTCCCACATAAATCGCTGAAACCCCTTGAGTTGGAAGGGACCCACAAGGATCGAGTCCAACCCCCAACTCCACACAGGGCAGCCTAAAAATCAAACCATACATCTCGGAGCATTGTCCAAATGCTTCTTGAACAGACAGGCAATTTATGTATATCATGCAAATGTTTGAAATCTAAGAGGAAATAGTCAAGTGGAAACAGACAGATAGGAAGCACAAAGGATTAAACCCCATTTAGGGTAGGGGAAGAAAAAAGTTTTAGCTGTTGTCCTTGAAGATAACCACTGTAAAATCATCAAGTTATTTTAGCCATGAAGCCAATTGATGTGGAGATTGCAGTAGACTTCTGTGAACTGTTGCTGAAACTTCAAAATGCAGGGCTTGAATGTCAGAAGTCTTTGTAGTTGAATATAATTGACAAATCAAAATTTTGTTCTCTCCAGATGTTTTTGTTTTGATGTTGTGGCTTATATCTCTTGAAAATGCACAGCCTAATTAATGGAATTATGTTTAAAGATGAGATTGAGGCAATAAATAGGTGGACAGTGCTGTATAGTTTGGGTGCCATCCAGCAGTCTTTGTGGTAGTGGTGTTGCATTCCTTACCAGGATGCTGAGTAGTGTGGACATTTTTGAGTCTTACCGGCGTTTAGGTTTTTGTGAAGCAGTAGCTGGTAGCAGGGACAGCAAAGCAATGAGGGTTATATTAATAAGGTCCAACTTCTTCCCACTTATTTTAGGCACTGAGCTCTTCCATATCTGAACAACTTAGTGTTGCACCTTCTCCCACTTTAAATTTTCTGGCCTCTTTGCCCCCAGCTATTGAACTTGTCTTGGACATCAAATCCTTTCTT